GCGGGTCTGCGGGCTGGCGGTCACCGATCTCTTGGGGACCTGCCTGGTGAGTCCGGTCACTATCGCCACGTACCTGCAGAACCGCTGGCCGGGAGGACCAGCGCTGTGTGAGTACAGCTCCTTCATCCTCCTCTTCTTTGGACTTTCTGGCCTCAGCATTATCTGTGCCATGTCTATAGAGAGGTACCTGGCCATCAACCATGCCTATTTCTACAACCATTATGTAGACAAGAAGCTGGCAGGGCTCACGCTCTTTGCCATCTATGCTTCCAACGTGCTGTTCTGCGCCCTCCCCAGCATGGGACTCGGCAAATCTACGTTGCAGTACCCTCACACTTGGTGTTTCATAGACTGGCACGCAAAGGAGGCCACCCATGCGGCATATTCCTACATGTACGCTGGCTTCAGCTCCTTCCTAATCATGGTCACTGTGATCTGCAACATCCTGGTGTGTGTGGCCCTCATTCGCATGCACCGCCAGTTCATGCGACGCATGTCCTTGGGGACAGACACCACCTCCAGCCGTTTATCTGACTTTCGCAGACGCCGGAGCTTCCGTCGGATGGCTGGAGCAGAGATCCAGATGGTTATTCTGCTCATTGCCACTTCCCTGGTGGTGGTCATCTGCTCCATTCCTCTGGTGGTGAGTAACGTTTCGCAACCCTTCTTCTTTTCCATCACCCACACTGCTGAGTCTTTTCTCCTCCTAGTCTGTGCTTGTAGGACAGACTCCTATTTAGCTGGTGCTGCAGACTGTTATAATAACTTAAAGGCTGTTAGCATACATGCATGGTGAAAGAAAGTTTTGTTGATTTATATTTACAAGAAAAGAAACACGCTTATCCCAAGTCCCAGGCTCCTTTGATTGGTTACAATACAGCGCCAAAAATTCTCAATAATTTTTCCACTGTTTAACTGGAATCCACACAGCAAAAATCTTACTGAGAGCTAAAGGCACTTTAAAGTTCACTTCCAAAATTAATTTGTGATGAGTGAGGTTTGGGTCTGGCCTGCATTTCTGGATGTTTATTGTGTTTTAAAAATGCGCACACTGTTGCTGAAGGGTACAGCAGTCCTTGATGTGCATGCGGAAGGAGGAGAGAGCTCCGTTCACTTGGCACCAGCAACACAAAGAGTGCTTCACACCCAAAACCTGAGTCGAGCTTCCCCTCCTGAGGGATTCACCCACCATCTCTGGGTAGATCCCACACTTCTACATACCTCCAGCAGTTTCCCCACTGTGGGAGGAGTAAACTCAGTGGAACGACCCATCAGTGTAATTCTCAGTTAAATAAGAGTTGGAGGAATCTCGCCCACATAAACCTAAAGATCATCCCGAAATGTCAGACAACATTGCCACTAACCGTTTGCTAATTTTCTGAAACAGACGATACAATTATTGTCATTGAACTGAATATGCAGAATCCACTTATTTCTATTCCTCCACCTTATCTCCAAGGAAGACAAAAAAAAAACCAAAACACCAGCTGGAGGCTCAGTTCTTGCTTGCCACCCACCATAATTAAACTTGGCAAACTTCTCCTCTTCTGGCTCAGAGACATTAAACAAATAGCTGGCTTGCCTTATTCGCCACCTTCCAAAACACAGCGTAGGGAGCCAAGCAGTGGTTGTCAGACAGAAAGTGTTTTTAGAAGGATTGTTTTAAGGGGGTTTATTGTCAGTCGGGTGATCCCTCTGTCGCAGAGGGGCTATGATGTGTGTGAAATACAGCTGGCCAGCTGAGGATGTGAAACAAATAGCGTATACCACGGTAGGAGGTTTAGAGAAGTACATGTGAACAGGACTCTCGAGAGGTCAGCGAGTCCATCCCCCTGCCTCAGAGGAGCTGTAATCGCAAGGGTCTGGCCAGTTTTGCCACATTACTAACATAAACAGGAGCCAGTGAAGTGTGGCTGTGCTGGAGCACCGGCGCCCCAGCTGTCGCCGAAGGCTGTCTCCCGTGCTTCGGCGTTGTCACTTTGCGTTGCGCCATGGCGTGACCGAGCACGGTGCCGCGCGTTTGTTGCTTGGTGTCTGAGGGAAGTCGAGAGGTGCTGGCTGAGCCGCATGCAGGGTGTCTCCGGGAGGCGCGCGCGTGTTGGGTGCAGGAACCGCGCGCGACCTGCCCTGCCGTCCAGCTCCAGAAACTGCAGGGGCAAGCCGACTCGCTGCATCAGGAGGCATCAGGTCATGGAGTGGCCAAAACCCCGACAGTACCGTGGGTTGACAGTACTTAATTTGATTAATCTAGTATTATGACAGCTGCTTCACAAAAGAACGATATTGCGTTTTCAAAAGAGATGCTGGTAAATGCAGAGAATGGGTTCTGGGAATTAAATATAGCGTCGTAATGTGATACAGGGTATCAGCTGGTGGACTTCAGCTGTTTCAGAAAAAAGGCAAACCTTATCCTGTGGAGGAGCAGCTAGAGGAAGGCTGAGAAGTCTGAGCGTAAAATGCAAAATGAAATTGTTCATATCCATTTGGAGTCTTTTACAGAATATTAAAAACCAAAAAAATGGAAAAATCAAGAGGGAGGGGTTACAGAAAGGGAACTGGATTGTTGACAGTTAAAATTAATGAACCTGGGTGGGGCAAAAGGTTTATTATTTAAACAGTAGCTAGTGAAAAATTTGTATATAGCAGAAGGTATGTGAAGGTGCAGGTGATGAAGTTGTGTAGCTGTCTCAGACCTTGATTTCACTACTTATAAACGCACAGTGTTACCTTGGGAGTGTTCACATAAGTTAGCTTTTCCCTGCAGCACATCTATATCTAGTATGACGTAAGAGACTGTCATTTCACTTAGATGGATGACTAAGAAAAAAAGGAAGCTTTCTTCCCCCCCCAAAAAAAAACCCAACCACATATATACACATCATCACAGTGTCCAGTATGGTTAAATTTCTTCGTTGTTAAGTAGCTTTTATAAGTCATTTGCCTCCCCCTGCGGGAATAAGCTATAGCCATACATGCTTCTTTGTGCCATGATGTACTGCAGCGTATGCCGCTGTATTAAGCCTTTTGGTTGCATATAAACTGAGGTTAAGAATTCAGGTATAAACTCAGAGAATTGACACCTTTATGCTGTAAATCCCTAGAAAAAGCCACTAGCAGAGATAGGTAACTCACTAATATAGACGTATCTTTTCATGACTCGGGGGAGTTTTAGGGACCTCTTACCGAGCGAGAGGCTCATCTATAACAGGACAGCCTGGCAGTCATCAAGAACATGCGAGTGGTAAGGTGGTGGTGGTGGTGGTGGTGGCATGATTCAGACACAGAAAGCAAGCTCAGAGGGTGCTTTGTGACTGAAGTTTTCTGATGAGCTGACTTCCTACTGATGATTTCAGCTGAATAAACCATCACTTAAGTCAAAGCAAAGCAACTTCTGAGAGAGATAAACCTCTAACATTTTAGAATGAACACCTTCACAACATAATAAAATAGCAGACAGAGGCAGTCCAGCAGGTGACATTTATTAGGGTTTGACAAAAAAATTTCAAGCCTTCAAATATTAAATAGCCCTGAAATAATAAGCAAAGGCTTGTCTTGATTTAAAAAGTGGTTAAAGAACAGCAAGCTGAGTCACAGAGAACAGCGGTTTTTAATAATGAGATGTTCCAGCACTCAGTTTACAAGTAGGGTTGTTTAGTGTCATAATGATTTATTCATAAAATCAGTAAAATTTTACAGTGACAACAAGTGCTATAACAAAATTATGGGGTTTGTGCAACACGCTGAACAAACTTGACAGAACTGAAGGCTGATCAAATTTATCAAGGAAACAAAAGTTGAACGAAAAACATTAGTGAAAGGAAACTTTTGATATAACCTCATGTGTTCTCAATGTGCAGAAACTGATGTGAAGGGCATGAAGAAGAATCTGACAATAGTTTAAAAGTGAAATAAGGAAAATACATAAATCATGTGCTGACTCTTGTCTGCACTTCACACTGGTTGTCTCATCTTTTCAATTAGTGTGAGTTTTTAGAAAATAGAATGGGATAGAGTTAAAAGTAGGGAATGTTATTTTAGGAGGAATTTTGTCAAGAATAGAGTAGAAATTATTATCCGGCCTTTAAAAAAAAACAAACTATTTCAGGAGTAATTAGGCACACACTACTCAAAGTCTGTAATTCACTCCAGCAGTCTCTCAGATGCTCTTAAGATTTTCAAGTGCATGATCTTTTTCTGATTCTGACCACTGAGCACTGTTGTTAAATTATGGTGGAGTGGAAAATAAAATATAATATTTCAGGGTGTACATCTGGTGGATTGCATGATATAATCAAGAGTTTCTGACTTAATGTTTAATTGATCTAGAAGTTTGAATTTTCTTTTGGCTTGCTTGGTTTCGACTTTTTAAATGTCAGGGACTGTCCACAGCCAACAGCAAGGTGGCAGACGTGATTTTTGAGCAATGGAGTAGATACCAAGCAGACACCAAGCCCTTGAAGGGCAAAGGTTATTGGCTTGTAGAGCTGAAAAACTTGTTCCTGCTTACTACTGTACAGTTTTTAAATTTATCCTATCGGTATGTGGGGAGATTTTGAGGGCAGGTAGAAGCTATGAAGACAATTACCAGTGTGACTGTAACTATACAGTTGACTTTATAGTACTTCATAGGATTAGAAATCATGATTTGCATCTGTAGTTAGTGAAAAGGAAAAGCAGCAAACAGCACAGAGGACTCTGATCCTACAAGTACCTATCACTTGAGTTTAAACTCAACATTCCTTGGAGCTATGCACTTTTTAACACAATTGCAAACAAACCACTAGTACTTTTAAGAGATGCTGCCTGAATTTTACAGCTACAAATCTAACATACAAAACTCTTTTTTTTTGAGATTTGAATTGTGGTAGTTTGCTTCTTTCTTTAATTAGGATTTCAGATCGCACAAATTCAGTCATCAGATTAGCTAATTTAGTAGTGGATTCCACTTACTCGGCACTTACTTAGAAGATGCAAGGCAATACCCTTTATCATGCTATGTCCTGCAGCAGAAGACTTCTGGCCAAGACAGGATGTCTTTCTTGCTGTTCTTGTAGATGATATATTAGTAAATGCTGTTTCACCAGTATGTAATTATAAAACTGACTTTCCAACGCAGATTAATTTTTACCTTATTGTGATTAAGATGTAATCCCAGCAATAGGTCTGAATTGATAAATGCATTTGGCATTCTGGGGGGCTTCTAATAAAAGACATGAGACCTTTCTGGGAAGCAGAAACAGTTTTGTACAGTCCAAAGTTTTCACTAAAAAGGTCCATTTTATGAATCTTTAACCTAAACGTGCCGCATTTCTGTCAAAAGGAAATAAGGCATACAGAGATAACATAAAGCAAGCTGTGCTGTGCAATTAGCAATTGTCTTTTTCAGCCACAGAGTCAGCACTGAAAGACTTTTTTGTCTTTCCATAAAGTCTGCCAGGTAGATGGAGAAAGGTGACATTTCATATGCTGCTTATCAAAGGAACAATCCCACTATTAAATCACTGACGTGTAACTATAGCTCCAAGTTTAAAGCAGAAAAAAAAAAAAAAGGTCTCCAAAGCTGGACTGTGTACTTCTTCAGCTATCTTCAAAGTGTGCCTTCTGGTTCTGCGATCTGGATGAATTTATCAGCAAATACCCCTCCCTGTCACACCTGTGGTCTTCCTGGTAATGACTGCATTTAGACGTATAAGCTGCTAGAAGGCCTCCACTCCCTCAGTCCTTTGAACTCCTGGCTCTCAGGGCACGCACCTGTCCGATGGTCCGCTGCTCAAATACATAGGCCAGCATTTGCAGCCTTTCAGGGTGTATTCCCCTGCATAACGAGATCTCAGTACAGAAAAAGAAAAGGAGCATTTGGAAAGAAATGTTATGGCACAGGTTAAATCCCCTGGGGAAACCTGGCCTTTGTATATTTATACATTTGACGTCTTATCATTTTGGAGGGGAAAAAAGTGTCACACAAATGGTCAAGTCGGTATTTCAAGAACAGGTTTTAGCCGGTGCCAGACAACGCCGCGTCAACTTATTTTTCAGCCTTCCAGGTTCGGCAATCCCAACTGCCGAGTTTCGGGTTCGGCATGCCGCTGTCGCCGCCAGCAGCTTTACTTGCCCAGGCTGACAAACGGGAGCCACAAGACCTCTCCCCGCCTGCGGAGTGAACCGGCGGGCGGCC